ATCATCAGAAAATGTTGCCAGAGTATCCTGTTTGCAAACACATAACAAAGTCTTATCAATGTGGCAGTCTCACAATGGAAGACATTAAACTATTTCATGAAGCATTTTATAAAAATCAAACCAAAGTTGCTCAAGACACGTTTATATTGAAACATGCAACAGTTGATACTATTAAACGAGTACGAAATCAGTCTTTAAGCAGACCAGGTACCATGGCCACGAGATATTATATCCGCAAAAAATCAAAAGAAATTGTTCCTGTTTGCAAGGAAGCATTCTTAGGTATCTTAAACTTAAAAAGGTACCGAGTAGAAGGTGTACTCTCTCGATTTTTTCATAAGGATCAGCTACCTAGAGAGAATCGTTCCCTCAAGTCTCAAGATGTTAGGGAAACTGTGATGAAGTTTATCAAATCTATCGCAGTACTAGAGAAACATTATTGCAGAGGCAGATCACAAAGGCAGACGTTTCCAGTGATTTATCCATTAAAATATTGTGGACATTTTATAATGCTGAATATCAATGCAAGAAGTCATATTTCCGATTCATATTCAAAACTAAATTCAATATAGGTTTTAATGCCCCACAGGTGGATGTCTGTTCACAGTGTTTAGAATATAAAGAAAAAATAGAAAAATATAGAAATAAATATAAAAAAATAGAACGATGATACTTACACAATACAGATTACACAAAATGAAAGCAAACTCTTTTTTTGATATTTTGAAGAAAGAAGAGGCTCATATAATACCTCTTTCATACGACTGTGAAAAAAAATTAGTTTTGCCAAAAATCCCAGATCAAATCACCTATTATAAAAGACAACTTTACTTATATAACTTCACAGTCGTGATCGGATCGTCTAAAGCAAAGTTAACCAAACAGAATGACTTCATGCATACTTGGTTCAAAGGGTTCTAACGAAATTGCTTCAGCAGTTTACAATACTTTAAATAATTTGGAAATTGCAGATGAAGTTTCTGAAATAAAACTTGTTTCTGACGGATGTACCGGTCAAAATAAAAACAGCACTATAATTGGAATGTGTGCCAAGTGGCTTGCAGATGATGCACCTAAACATATTCAGAAGGTCAACTTGATTTTCCCAGTAACTGGCCATTCGTTCCTGCCACCAGATAGAGTTTTCGCGCAAATAGAAAAAAATGTGAAGAAGAAAGATACAATCGTCGATGCTAAGGAGTACTATACTATATTTGAAAAGTTTGGAAAAGTAAAAAGCTAGGCGTCGATTGGAAAGCCTTAAACTGGCGCAAGACTATAAACGAGGTTATGAAACCAACATCTTCTCTACATTTCAAAATCAATTCGTGTAAGAGAATCGTGCTAAGCAAAAGCAAAAAAGGTACAATCCTAAATCGTGGAGAACCTAATTATTTCTCGGACATAAACAACGCATTGGGGATTTTTAAAAGAGGGAAGCAACTTTCCAATATCTTCCCAGAATAAATATAATTGAATAAAGTCGAGTTAAATGCGAAGAAGATAAGAGACGTGGATGTACTACTGCGAAAACATTTTGGAGCCGACTGCCAAAATATTGCTGAAAAAGAAAATCTAATATATTACAAAGAGATTGTCAGAAGATTTGGGAAGGTGACTGAAGAAGGCAATAGTGAAGATAATGAAGGAGAGGACGAACTATGTCAGATAAGCGACGTTCAGGAAGATGATATCGTTTAATGTTTTTTTGAGAGCTATAATAAGTTGAATAAATGAAGCACTATAATTTAGTCTTATCATTTGCTTTTAACCTAATGTTGCCAGACTGAAGACTTTGCAAGTGCATTTGAATTTTGAAGCAAAACCCCTAAATCCATAATTGTTTTCAAAAACAGCTAAATCCAAAGTGTTTTTTCACTTCCTTAAATAACTATTGAAGCGATATTTTCCCGAGAAATCAGTCTGAAACATTACGTCACTATCTATCAGTTTCTGCATATAAAAACTCTAGGTTACTTTTCTGTGGCTGGTAGCAAACTTTTGCGTTTTCTGAAAAAAATCCTAAACTGGACTTAGTGGTTTTTGAAACTAGGCGACTCATTTACATTGCATAATCACCAATAAAATATAGGTAATAAAATTGTGAACTGCTACTCATATAACTAGCAAGCAAGTACTCATTTTGTGGGTAAGTAGTGTTAACTATTCCGTCTTTGCAAATACCCAAAAATCAAAATATCTGAGTACCCCATACCGCTGTTCAACTTTCCCCAACAACAAAATAAGGCCCCAGATTTTGCTATGGCCTGAGGCCCCTTCCGCCATATGCCCCAAGCATCCTGTCTGCCCAGGGCCCCTACAGCTTAAGACAGCCTTATGTTAAGTAAATTCACTCCGAACTTAGCAATCTGATTATAATAAATAGTTAGTATGAATACAATAAATTTGATTTTATAACAAAGGTGTGAATTTATTTTAATTATACCGGGTGTCCTAAAAGTTGGGACTTCCAACTTCCAAAAAACAACTCTTGGAACATTCGCAAAAAAAGTAAAAAAAAAACAAATGAAAAAGTACTCACAGTTCATTTACAGATGAATTTCAGGAACGGCGCTGTCACTTATAAGTAGATACTGTTCGAAGTTGTCGCCGTCGATAAAATATTTCGTAGAGTCTATGGATTGCCAGTCCAAACGTCGAAAATGTGTGCGAAGGACTACGTGAGGATTTTCCAATTACCAATATGAGTATTTCGGAAGTTATTCACCCCGTTACGCGTGAAGGCTGATTGGTCCGTGACTAATATGCACTTCAACTTCAACCCCCGATTATTTACATGTTGATGCAACAACCACTCACAAAAACGCACTCTTGCAGGAAGGTCTTCAGCTTCGAGGGCTTGTACAGAAAGGTACAATCTATCATCACACATCGCCTGGTACAGTTTAGTCTTGGAGACTTTCACTTGCCTAGCCACTTTCCTAGTGCTTGTTGAAAGATCTTGGTCAAGATTATTCAATACTCCGTCCTCATTTGGCACCTTTCGGGGTTGTCTAGGTCTCCCACTGTGCCCACCTCAACATTCCTGTAAACGGCCTGTATGTAGACAAGGAAAACAAATTTACGGGATCCTGAATGATAACGTCTAGGGTGAATGCAGCATTTGAGTCAGGGGGGGGGGCTCACAGGATTCATTTTCAGTAGCATTTTCGTCTCCTGAGGGAGGATGGTTGGAGTAAAACAGCCTTATTATTTTGATACAATTCTATTAATTATGGGGCCGTTTCCAAATACTTTTTTCCCGTTTTGAAATGGAACAACATGAATAAATATATTGCGTTTATGGCTAGTCTGTCTCTGGTGAAATTAATGATTTAATAGTTTTCGTTGGATTATATCGTTGCCTAAGTTCTAGCTCAGCGTAACTCAACGGCCAATTTTTAAAAGAGCAAATAACGGTGGATCTTTGGATTCCCTATCGAATGACGTGCATATCTTGGTGGCGTCATTTACATGTATTGAGTTGTTCGATGTTAAGACTGAAGCGACGATATGCGAAAATTATTTAAGAAAAACATATTTCCAACAACGTCTCCTTCAGTGGCCTGTTTCTCCGGAATCAAGAGGTGTTTCGCAAATCGAGAGAATCAAATACAATAGTTTCAGAATAGTACCAATTCTTGCCTCATCTGTAGGAAATACCCTGTAAATTTGCTTGCAGCGTTAAAGGCACGAAAAGGTTTCTTCTTATATTCCTGACCGAATGTCTGAATTTTTCAATTATCAACCTTAATCACAGAACACATGAGGGTCAATGTTCAATAATGGATTAACGGACAAGTAGGTAGTGCTACGAAGCCGAAAAATGCTTATATTTACGTCAAGCTGAACGTATAGGCAACCAGACTTACTCAACCCTCTTATTTCCATTCCATCATCGGTGTGCTGACAAATTGATCAGGGTTGCCAGGTGTGGAGATTATTCATCAGATCTGATAATTTTTACCCATTTGTATCCGTTATATATTTGCAAAATGTCTTTATTTGATTCAATTTATCAAAGAAATTCGAAAGTCATAAATATTAGTTGTCGAACTAGAAACTCCCGGCTCTGACCTCCATGACCTCCCCCCCCCCTGGATCCGCGCTTGAATAACGTTTGGGAAAGCGACCTCCATTCACCCGCGAAGCCTCGGTATCATTTGGAAGGCACTCACAATAAATTAAAATCATGTCGACAAGTTCTAAGTTGCTGTGTGAGAGTGCCATTTTGTTTTTTTTTTTTAGAACCGATAAATGTTTTGTTTACCTACGCTGTCGGCGCCTGGGTTAACCACTGATGTGGGTCATGTCTTCTGACTCTTGATCTAATTGATGTAGATACAGGAGCGGATTAGATTTGGTTTAGGTGTAAATGATTTTGCGTAGCTTAATATCTCGGTTAGGTATCTTAAGGCTTTTGTGTTTTTGCTACTAGGAAAAGGAAACTCCCAAACCAAGCGGATAGGTACCCTACAGATATGGTAGAATAGTCGTATTTCAAATAGACATAGGATTTCTAACAACCTATAAGGCTCCGTATTTTTTACGGTTAGAAACTTTCCAAAATCGTATTTTCATTCCCACCTAAAAATGATCGAAACGTGTTGTCTTTTTTTATCATAAATTACTGTATGGCGTTTTCTGAGAATAAAGCACACATTTTATCTGCTATGATTCTAAATGAAGTCCATCCTATTAGGCAAAAATATCGAGAAATGGCTCTAAAGCTTATTCGACTAATTCAGAGGTCCGAGAACAATATTCAACTCATAACAGAGCGATGGAGATTTATCTTGTGCTATTATGAAAAAAAATAATAATATTGTGGATTTTTTGTTTTTGAAGACATTCGAATTGTCAGTCGAAGAAACCAATAAAAACTTTGGAAAAAAATACTTGTCAATGAAATATCTTCCGAACGAATTATCAGATCCAAATTTGAAGGCCATTTTTTAATTCTTCTGGCGAATCTACTTCGGAATAGTCACATATTGCGATGCCTAATCCTTTCCAATGACAGGAGCAGCCAAAAATGGAAACGTTGCAAATAATTCTAATTTCTAATTAATCTTGGCAACACTACGGCATAGTTTCCAAGTCAGTGTCGCCATCCAATAAATATAATTGATAAAAATTATGGTCCAGTATCGCCAACATCAGGTCAGTACTATAAATTTGACAGTGCTGCAAATAATAATTTAATTAAGATTGTAGTGATGAAGATGACGGATAATAGTACGTTTTATAATTAATTAACTATTGCGATACTTAAAAATCTGTTTGCCTATGCCATGGAACAAAATCGACGTAAGTTGTAAAATGCCTGACCTATGACTGGTTATCGCGTCTCGTGTGACGGTGTTCTGTGAAGTCAAAATGTCAAAACGAAAGAGGTTAGACTCAATCGAAATGTCACCAATGTTATGACTGGTGAAATGGTGAAAGTAAACTTTTAAGCTACTATTATAATATATTTGATGTTTTAGTTAAAAAAATATGTACACCCTTCTCCATGGCTTTTATAAGTACCTTGTACAGAAAGACGAGTATTGCGTTTTAATACTTGGTCTGGACAATGCAGGCAAGACTGTTAGAATGAGACGCTAAAAAACTGTGTTTTGTTCCTAATGTTTCATTTTGTAGACGTACTTAGAGGCAGCTAAAACTAAATTTACCAAAAACTATACAGGAACTCACCCCTCCAAGATCACAACAACAGTAGGCCTTAATATTGGCAAGATTGATGTAGCTGGCATAAGGTTGAATTTTTGGGATCTGGGTGGGCAGAGCGAACTACAGTCCTTGTGGGATAAGGTGGGTGAATCTTAAATCGAAGAAGAAATGAAAAACTTCATCTTCACAAAGAATGAGATATAGACTATGCTGGATTTTTATTATGTTTTGGAAAATTGTACAAGACAACATTGGTATACTGTGTCCAGGTAGCTATCTGTGTAACCACAAGACCAACTGCTTACAATGTATCAGAATATCCTATCCACATATTTACTGTTTAATTTAGGCATTACAAGTTACATAAAAATCCAGCTATATCAAAAATCTTACTGTCACTGACTCTTCCTCCTAGAGCTCTAACATATATAATGACTTATGCATGCTTAGATGATGAAATTACTGATATTAGTAATGTGGTCAACTGTTTTAAGGCGTAAATGCAGCAAATCTCCACATCAGTAGCAGCTCTAAATTAAATTAGGTGGTTGTTCCCAACAATGAATTTCTGATTATACCTGAATGATCATTTGTAGTGGAACAGATCAGTTCAGCAAGTAGCCAGGCAGCATTATATTGTTTGTTTGCATAACTACTGACAGTTGCTGCTAGTTAGGAATTCCATGCTAATATATATTTATTTTTTCAGTATTATGAAGAATCTCATGCCATCATATATATTATAGATTCTTCAGATAGAGATAGAATTGATGAATCCAAGGAAATATTCGGTAATGTCATTTTCTAACTGAAAATCAAATTTTAATTCGCTTAGGCTATTTATTCCTTTAGGTATATTTTAATCTTTATTTACAAGTAATAATCAATTACATAGAGATTAAAGTTCAAATACCAAAGTATGAAACTAACATTTTTATAATCCTTTTCAGATAAAATGATTGCAAGTCAGTCATTACAAGGGATCCCTCTTTTAGTTTTGGCTAATAAGCAAGACATTCCTGAATGCATGGGTGTGAGAGAGGTTAAACCTATTTTCAACAAAAATGCACACCTTATTGGAAAGAGAGATTGTATGGTGATGCCTATATCAGCTCTGACAGGGTAATTATCTGTTTTAGATTCAGAAGAATGACTCAACAAAGGACTAAAAATGGTTTACTGCTCCTTGTATGAGTTTCAAACTTGCTTGCATAACTAACTCATATTGAAACTGTTTCCATTCACCTTTAAAGCTAACACATAACTGAGGGAATGAAATTTTGTAAAACCACATGATTTATTGATTAAACTTCAAATTTATTAGTATAAAGGCAAAAATATGTAATGAAATCAGATATTTTTCAACATTTATATCATCATCTGTCAAATGTATGTGTCATGTTTAGCCCAATCCAAAGTCCCAAGGTGTCTGATAGTGCTGCAAGGCAAGCTTAGAGTAATCTCCTTCAACTTCAATTTTTCTAATTGCATACCAGTTTATCAAATACTATATATAATTCCACACTATTAAAAAAAGCCCATCGACAGTGATAAAGTTACTGCTGGTCGAGTGGCGGGGGACATTGACATTATGCATAAACATCTCAAAAACATCTTATCATTTGGTTTATTTAGACCATTTTAGGGCTCCCCAGTACCAAACGCGACCTTGAATATTATGGCGAGATGTGCACTTGTTAGTTACTCAAGAGTTGTCTTCATTTCCCGTTATTCTGCTCCCTACAGTAAACAAAAGAGTGACAGTCCAAATATCGGAGTCAGGCGACACTGTAACCGTGTTGCCGCTGCCTCGATGCCGAATTGGATATAATAAGTTCATTATATTGTCTGACCAGTCTGGATACTCGCATCAAGATCGTCCCTCGTCTTTATTCCTAATATTTCGCATTCTCGGTATCTTTCAACAACGGAAAAGAAAATCAATCAAATCAAACTTATCAGGTGAAGGGTGAACACGTGACAGCCGCTAGCCGCTTGAGCGCTCCGCTAGAAGAACATACAAAATGTTTTTTTTTTACAATATTTTCAAATTCTCTTTGGACATATAGCAACGAGATAAAAACGGAAACCTAGATAAATGGATGCTCTAGACGGTCGTGTTTTCCATTTTCCGATATAATGCTTGATTTTTTAACCACAGAAGTTACAAAAATATTAAACCAAATAACACTCTCTTCATTGAGCACTTCACATTCAGATGCTCAAACTCTTTGTTTGTATCTTGAAAAAAACTGTGCAAGGACTGTGGATGTATATTTTATATAGGAATAAAAAAAAATATGGGGTACTGTAGTTTTAAGGTCTACATGTAAACATAGTTATGTTAATATTAACCTACTATTAACAGTCGCTCTATTACCAATATATTCTGATCTAATGAACGCAAAGACATGTTACTTTTTTCTTCTAGGGAAGGCATAGATGAGGGTATAAGGTGGTTAGTGGACTGTATTAAAAGGAATTCCTACTTAAGACCTCCAATAAACTTAGAGGAAACATAGGTTCGCTAAAACAGACTGATCAAAATGTATTTGTATTGTGTAATATAAGAAACTTCTCTTTTATATCAATGATTTCTTCTTTTCCCGTCCTATTTGACGTTATAAAAGTGAAACTGTAAAATTTTCGGTTTGAGACTTTCAAAAAGTTTTTTTTGTCCAAATTGTTAGCGGGTTTTCCATGTTGTTGTCTACGTCTTTAATATGTTGCAAAAATTAAGGATGCTCAGCATTTTTTAACACGTGATGCGCATGATGCTTCCCTTTTTCTGCTATTTATACAGGGTGGCCAATATATAACTGACTGATTTAAATTGCGCGCCATTTTTTATACACGCATTTCAGTAGGTGGCGCCGCAGTAGTTGCTTAAAGCACATGTGTCCAATTCACATAACACCTAACTTACTAAGTAGGTGTTATGTGGTCCAGTTCATCATAGTGCGCTACACGGTCCCACAACGCGTCCGTATTGTTAAAACGTTTTACTTGAATAATGAGTCGATTTTTGCAACCAAGGAAGCTACGGCAAGATTTCGGTCCAAAGAATATGCCCAGGGTCAACACCCTTCGTCAGTTGTTGCGGAAATTTGAACAAACAGGTGAATTTGAAGAGTTGTCAAGGCCGTGTTCATACTCCGGAAAATATCGAGAGAGTTCGTGAAAGTGTAGTGGAGCGCCCTGAGACGTCTACCAGACATTGTTCTCAGGAACTGGGTATTCGTCGCACGTCATTATGCACTGGTTTAAAAAAAGACTTGCATTTGCGGCCATATACGAGCCCCTTCCCACTTCAGTTCGCACAACTATTGAAATCTTAGTTTTTTTCTTGTCAAATACAAATAATACAAATTTAGCAGGGTGTTATAGGTTTAAAATATTAACAATGAATATTTTGATAATATATAGTAGGAAATACCAACTTTATCACTCCCTAATCAAATTTGCAGCATAAAAATAGCACATGTTGCAATTACAGCATATCAACCTATTTTCATTTCAATGCTAAATAAGTCTATAACGCATTGGTGGCTATGAAAAATAAAAGCCATGACAATAAATTGTTTTTATTAATCACAGCTGTCAGAATACGTTTAAAATAGTTTTGGGTAGTTAAGGTTTTCAAAATGGGTAGAGGAAAGGTTATTAGTGAGAAAATTCTGTTACTGATAATTAAATTTTTTAATTCTGGGAAATCAAACTCAGAAATTGCAACTTTGTTAGACTTATCGCGGTACAGTGTGAGAAATATTGTTAGAAGATATAACGTAACTGGTTCAGTTAATATCAAGCCACGATATGTGAAAAAAGTAATATCACAAATGCCGACCGAAGAGCATTAAGAAGAATAATCGTGAAAAACAGGCGTGCCAATTATTTACAATTAAGTGCTCTGTGGAGTGACGCTGTTAGAAGGAGAATTTTGAGGTCCACAACTCGTAGAGAGGCCCACAAACTGGGATTTAGCACTTGCAAGGTAAGTTTTATTTTAAAAAAGTGGAGTGATGAGGCCCGATTCGAATTTTGTGTTGGTGACAGTCGCAGTAGAGTTATTCGCAAAAAAATTAAGCATTCCATGTTGACTGTCTGAAGAGAAAAGTGAAATTTCCAGCATCCATTATGGTCTGGGGCAGTATGTCATCAAAATGAGTAGGAAAACTTCATTTTATTGATGGAAATGTGGATACAAACAAATATTTGGCAATTTTAGAAGAATCGCTTTTACCAGTGATGGTAGAATGTTTGACATCCGGCCAAGATTTTGTGTTTGAGGAAAATGGTGCAGCGCGCCATACCTCAAGAAATGCTATAAAATGGATGGAAGAAAATAATGTACCACTTTTGAAATGGGTTTTTAGCAGTCCAGATCTGTTACCTATTGAAACTTTGTGGCACGAGATGAAAAAGGTTCTACGACAACATCCTGCTCGTACAATCACCGAACTGAGACAAAAGCTTCAAGAAATATGGGATTGTTTTACACCAAATTTTTTCCAAAACTTGGTTAACACTATGCCCCAAAGAATTTCAGCCGTAATAAAAAATAAAGGTGATGTTACCCAATAGTAATATTTCAATTATTGCTTTATTAACTTCGCGCATTTATTCTCACATTGTTTATTTGTTCAGATGTTCTATTAGTTATAGGTCTAAGTGATTTCAAATATGTATTTTTTACGACTAGAGTGTATCTAAAATGTTTTTGAGAAAATAAATTGTCTTAGAAGTAAATAGTTTCGTCATGTTTAGTTTATAAAGGCATATTTTGGTACAAATCTTGAAGTGGGCCAACTGAAGTGGGAAGAGGCTCGTAAAATGTAGTTAACAGAAGAACTACAGCATAGTGGCAATGAAAGTCGCCGACAATGCAGTTATGCAATATTGCATCTTAATACCCAAAATAACTATTTTTACCGACAACTGATAATGAGCGATGAAGCCCACGTCGATATGAATGGTCTTAGCACAAACATGAATGCTCGACCGATGCTTGTTGCTGACTGCATATGCATTTATGGACCGCTGGTTTCATAGGCGCCAGCGGATTTAAACTCTTGAACGGTACGGGTATTACGTATCTTAAAAAGTGATGACATTACGTCGATCTTTGTTGACATTGTATTGTTTTTTTTGTGATATTATGTAGGTTTTTTTACCAGATTTTAACTTAGCACTAGCTGATGGACACGTAAACTCGTTTTGTAGTTATACGTGTTGCCTAAACGTCATGATGCTTCAGTTATCAATGTTTGGCTCTGATATGATGAAAATCTGCTTCAGAGATGGCATTACTGGAGGTCTAAGCTTTAAGTTGTATACTATAGCTAGAAGGAAACGGCAATACATAGGTGCATAGTGAGGATTTGTGTACTAATAATATGTGTTTATGATAATTCGATTGGTTGCTTGTCTCAAACACACGTACTTGAGATTCAAAGCTAGAAATTAGTTGCGCGTCCAGACCTTATCCATTCTGGAAATTACATATGCAAATTTGCTTGATTTCAAAAATGAGAGATAAGAAATAATTATATTCACTATACACTGTCGAATTACAAGTCGTATACAGTAATTACACACAACGCGAGCGCGGTGTTGATTTCCCGTACTTCTCCTCAAACTTTTTGATAACGCCAAAAAAAACGTAAAAAATCGAATTTTATAACTTTGAATAGAAAAAAGCGGTTAAAACCAATTCGTTTATTTTAACGCCGAGTTAAGGTCTATTTACACTCAGCCGTGACGTGCCAGTGATTCTCACTGCCGTGAGATCACAGTGTTTTAAATTCACACCGGTCAGTATTTTTCTACGTGCTCTGACAGTGCAGTTGTGTTCACGTGAGGTCGAGATGGCAAAATTTTCAGCGGATGAACTTGCAATTATTGCATTAATTCTGGATTTCTATTTTTAAGTAATCTCCCTATGGAGGATCAATTTTAGAATTATTTTTTGGATTACATCAACCTTTTTGTAATTATTATTCATAACTACCCAGAAGCCAAAATTCCGTTAAGTAATAGAGGATAAATAAGAGCATAATGAAGATTATATAGATATTTCTTATCCAGAATATCTCTGAAGTACCTGAACTTTATAATAATATCTGAGTCTCTTCACAAGGTACTCTGTATGGGTATTCCATTTTAAGTGTTTGTCCAAAATCACGCCTAAGTATTTTATTTTATCGGCTGACTGAATCCCTTTGAGACCATTGCTTGTATGACCTTCAAGTTTTTTAAATTGTGATGAGAGCCTGTCGTTACAAGACAGGCGTTATATAATGTGTTTTGTTGTAATTAATTGTCATAGTTCTTTCCGAAAAGAAATTTATAAATGTTTTGAAATCATTTTCGATTGTGGTTTCTAGTGTATGCCACTGGTTACTTTCATAGAGAACAGCTGTATCATCCGCAAAACGGATAATTTTACCTGTACTACTTATTTTGAACAAATCGTTGATAAGTAGATTAAATAAAATGGGTCCTAATACTGAACCTTGAGGTACACCGTACGATACGATATGGGGTTCACTAAATGTATTATTAATCTTGACCCACTGTGTTCGATTTGAAAGATAATTTTCTATAAGTTTGTATATTATTCCACGGAAACATAAGTTTTCTAAAGTTGTTAAAAGCGATTCATGAGTACTAATAGAGTCAAATGCCTTTGCCAAGTCAACAAAAACACATGTAGTTGGTTTGCGAATATCGAGATTCGTGTATATTTTACTTGTTAATTTTACAATAGCATCTTGAGTAGATTTGCCTTCTTGAAAACCATATTGCTGTTCCGCTATTAAGTTATATTTTTTTGCAAATTCGGTGAATCGGTTTTTAACACTTTTTCAAATATTTTAGAAAAATTGGTTAAGATGGAAATTGGTCGATAGTTGATGGGTTTTTCTCTTTATGTTTTCTGACAACCTTTTCTCGATTTTTGAGGAATATTCACAAAATTAATTTGCTATATCTACATCATTACTCACTAGTTCACCATTTTCTTTTGATTGTACTAATTTTGTTGTTTTGTTTTTTGCCTTGTATTTTATTGATAAATTGACACATTTTGGACGAACAATTTTGTAGATTATCAAACTCTTCTTGGAAATATTTAATTTTAGCCTCTTTAATCATTTTTATCAGCCTGTTTCGATATGATTTAAATTCATTCAAAAGATTCACATCATTAGGATATTTTTTGGTTTCCTTCTATAATTCTATTTTTTTGTTGGAAGTAATGCTTTTGATATCCTTGCTTGTGTTCGTAGAATCTTTACTGTTTTGGTGCATTCAACAATAAGACCTTCAATGCTAGATATAAAAAGGACAAAAACATTTTCGATATTAGGTTCGTTTTGTACTGCAATCCAATTTTGATAGAGTAAGTTGTTGTTTAGTTGTTCATAATCAATGTAAATTTTTGTATTATTCACTGTCTTTTCAATTTTGGTTGATGTACGTTCAAGATCGATTTTGAGCAAAGTAGGAAAATGATCAGAAATTTTGTATTTTAGAATTGATGAATATATTTTGTCAAGTTCTATACGTGAATTTATAAACAATAGTATGA